CTCACGATTGACAGTACTGAATCCCTCTTTCCAGCGTTATTCCTGGGGGGACCCATGCAGGAGGACTCACAGCAAATGCACTCGTGGTGAGGTTACAATGATTGTGCTTGGAGTTTTCTCGGTTGTTGACCTCATGCAGATCCTGGCAGACGGTGCTTATCTGGAGCTCATATCATTCACTCACCCAGCTTCGTATTACCCGCCTGGCTCCCCTGGTCGTCAGAAGCGTGATGCTAATCCGTGGGCTTGGAAGGAACCAGGATGGATCGACTTTGCCTTCCTGGGTTCTTCCAAAGCCTCGATCGCAAGTATTATAAACGAACGCGCGAAGGAGGACGGTAGCGATATACATTATGTTCCCGAGGTGGATGGAGGGCGAGTGCGGGAGGATGGTAAGGTGCTCAAGTGGGTAATCAGTGCTCCCAGAGAAGAACATCGTCGGGGGACTGTGCCGTTCTTCTGCGGCGATGTCACTCCTCGAGACTTAAGGGCGAGTACACTCTGGTGTAAAGTCGGGCCATTGGCTGACCAAATCCTTGAAGTACAGGTTCCTGTTGAACCGCCGTCAAACTCGGTACACCCTTCCGACGTGCTGGGGGTTGCACACGTCCGTCTGTTAGGAGAGGCAGGAGCGTTATCCATTATTTCCGCCCAGTTGACGTCGGTGGTCGGCGATCTCCCACATACCAGTGCAGAATCAGAGTATACCTGGTTATTGGAAACCCCGTCTGGAACATCAGTCTCACGGAAGCCGCTGTTGATCTTGAGTTCTCCAAAGGATGAGGAGGAGGAGTCATACCTTGCTGAAAGAGGTTCTGGGATATATGAGGTAGCATTTGTGGTGGGACGAGCAGGTGTAGAAAAAGAGTCGAGAACACCATATGGCAAGATAGTCTGGCTGAAGTCATAGATACATCCAAGGACGTTCTGCACAAAATGATCATCATCGAGTTGTCACACGTGAGCCGAAGTCAAGGGGCAAATGGAACTTGACCGGGGTGCTTCTGGGATGCGATGTTCACCTTGTCATCAGCTTGTATCGACTGTAGTAAGAGAGCCAACCAAGGAGAACCAATTTTTTTCGCGTAGGATCCCTCGTACCCGTTCTGGTCGATTGGCAAAGCATAAAAACAATCATCAAAAAGAGAACCTGACCACCGCAGGGGTCGAACCTGCAATCTCCTGATAAACGAAAAAGTCGTAGTCAGACGCGATGCCATTTCGCCAGGCGGCCATGATAAATTATCGCAGGTCGGACCTACCAAATCTGAGGGACACTGGAGCTTCCTCTTAGCACGGCACCACCGTGGCGGCCCCGGGCCGGGAGGTTTGCCAGTTTCATTGTTGGCTTGCCAGGTATTTGCACACTGCATGACATGGATATTGATGGAGGACTGTGAAGGGGCATGACATAGCTGATCCGGAGTCGCGTTGTGCAAGGTTTTCGCAAGAGAAATTACATACGTACGTAAGTGCCTAAGAGTAGTGATTTGAATGCTGTTCATTGACGCGTGCTGCACGCATGCTTGTAGCTCTGCCAGCTAGTTCCAGGTCTTCGGGGTTTGAGGACGCGGATTGTCAAGGCGGGTAAAGTACATACAGAGAAGACAAGTGTGTGCAGTCATTGGTATAAAAAATGTCAATAGTCTGAGTCAGTAAATGCGAAATAGCAATTGAGCTCCCTCTAAGTGTCCTCAGTCACAACCCAACAAAGTGATGGTGCCTTTCACCGCTTCTCCCGAACCTTAAGCCACACTACACCAATCACCAACACCCCAAAGCCAGCAATGAATGCGAACGAGACCAATACATCCCTGTAGTAGTTATTAAGGCCGAAGCCAAAGAGCTGTAAGGTACCGGTCAAAAGATCGAAAACATATCTTTGGCTGCTCCCTCTTACCAGTTGCATGATCAATGTGGCGGAAACATTGACCGGGACGCCTTGTAGTGTATCTTGAATCATGAGCCCTGACCCGACCTCATTCACGGCAAGGGCTTCGAGAGTGAACTGTGGACATAGATAAGCACCCTTAGTCCTCGATATATTCCCTAGGTGCTCACTTTGAGAGGGCACAACCATTGCAGCCACCGTAACACCGGCGGAATAGAGTCCAAATGAACGAAGAACCCAGCGTAAGTCATTTGGTACAACGCTGTTAGAGCCGAAATCAAGATCGCAATACCACCGTTACGGAAGAGGGTGGCGAGCAGGAAGTTCTAGGGATAGGTAAGTAAACGAAGAGTAAGAATACAGAGGAGAACGCACGAAAAGGGTCATGATCAGAGTGAACAACACTAGGATGAATAAGAATTTAAAGAAGTGAGCTGCGTCATGAGCAAGGCCAGCCATCCAATACGTCCTGCATTACGTGCGTCAGTACTCGAATAGAAAGTATCCAGCCCGATAGACCGACATGGTGGATACAATAATTGTTGGCAAAATCCGCAGTGGGATAACATCGAAGAAGAAACGCGATAGAAGCCATGCGGTAGGGCTGAAATAAGCATATTAGCGCTTACAGCATAGGGAAAGACCTCGAAAGCGAACCTATAATACGAGTTGGACCGTTCGCGCACAAAGAGCGGACGAACTTCGACAATGTTGTACAGTGCACTCAACGATGAGAACGCAATGAGTGATCCCTGAATAGCATATTCAGTTTTTCGCTTTGGCAGACAAAGAAAATCACCTACCAGGAAAAACAGACACCCCACTCGAGACTGGAACCCGGCGATGGTCGTCCCTGTGTGAAAGTACAGCCCACCTGCGTCGCGCAACTCTTCAGCACCGAGCAGATCTCCGTACCCAGCCTACGCACCACAAAATGCACCCAGAATGGTTGATAGAACCACATGCGTGAAGAACAACGTTTTATCCCTGAACCATATCTTAATCACCAGAATGCGCAATATTTGACAGCTGCGCTCACCGACGTAATATTTTCCACTCGCGCCCGCACAGCACTTGAAATTGTGTGAGGAACGTCGCCGCATATTCACGTGCCATGTTTCGGTTTGGAGCTATCAACGCTTCCACATCTGCTACACCGACTGGTTCTTCTGAGGTAGGAGTGGGTGCACCTGCCCCCTTTTCCTCGGCTACTCTGGCCTCCGATATCCTTGAGGATGAGGAGAAGAGCCCGACTGGAGCAGCGCTCGCGATTTCAAGGAGATAGTCTGCGACGTTGTAGCCCTCTTCGTATGGTGGTACGTCTGATGCCTGAGTGGTGTCGGCGTCGCGAATCGCAGTGAAGTGTCTTGCAGGAGCCAAACCACCAGGGCCGGAGTACAGGGCTCGTCCATGCGAGAGAAGGAGAACGGAGTCAAATGAGTGGTAAAGCCGCGAGCTTGACAGGTTGCTGTGTTAGAAATCTTATAAGGGGGGCAGAGTGCACCAACGAGACAGACCTTGGCTGATGGACGCTGCAAATAATCGCTACACCCCTACCAGACTTATCTCCCTCCACAGCGCCGAACAGACCTCCACCTCCTCGGGCGACCTCCTTGAGCACACTGACAACGCGCCAGGCGCTCACGGAGTCCAGACCGCTTGTTGGTTCGTCGCATACCAGCACATCAGGACACCCGACGAGCTCGAGGCCAATGCTCACCCTCCGTGCCTCTCCTCCGCTGATACCACGACCCGTGCCATCAGTTGCGCCGATCCGCGTTTCTGCTACATCGTCCAGGCCGAGCTTTGAGATAACTGCCGACACTAACGCTGCCTTCTTGACGGTAGAAAGCGACTCGGGCAAGCGCAGGGAGGCTGCAAAAGTGAGAGCTTCCCTGACTGTGAGAACAGCCGGTAGCACATCGGTTTGGGGAACGAAGGCTACGCGAGGGCGCTGTCCGTTTGCCAGTGGAGGGAATGTGATGGAGCCGGTGAACACCCCTGACTTTGCCTTGCCTGCTATCAACTCGACCAGTGTCGTCTTGCCGGCACCGCTGGGACCCAGAATAGCCATGAGTTCTCCGGCAGGGACGCGGCCGCTGACACTATCGAGGATCGTCCTCTCGCCGTCGCTACTGCGCCGAGAGAAGATAGAGCGATTGAAATTGCCTGGAGGCCGCACGAAGTACGAAACGTCTGACCAGTGGACATTGACTCCGCCACCTTGACCACCGTCGAATGGCTGTTTCCGCGCAGACCGCTGGAGGATCCATCCCCATGCGATGCCCACAAGGCCGATTGCAATCAAGCTGCCTACCACGGCCAGGCCAGCAATGACACCTCCACTGAGCGGTGCCGAGCCTCCGCTCTGAGTTGACGACGTCGTCCCATTGGTGGAGTCAATCACTGCTTGGCTAACACACTCCCCAAAGACACAACCTTGCATCGCCAACCCACTTGATCCGAATAAACCGTCCAGGACCTGCTGCTGGAAGTGACAAGTGTTCGTATTGTCGCAGGCAATGGTTAGAGAGCCCCCGAGCGTGTCAACCGTAGAGGTCAGATTGGTCACAGGGACACCTCCGCAAAATGACGTGTTGGGAATGCAGTTGCACTTCAGGTTGGAGCACGTCCATGTGTCTGTCGTATTCGTCGACGATTGAGTGCACGGGGATGCGGTACACGAGAACTGCTCGACGCCAGCATAGAATAGCTGGGCGTACACCGCTGAGGAACCGTCGGGGGAAAGCGTCGTGCCCGACGTATTGTGCAGTGGAGACAAGGAAGCGTTGAGTGTTCGAAGAATGTTCAACGTCGACTGAAGGGGGTAGATTGCTTGCAACGTAGGATTCTGAAGCAACAGAATATACGTATGGCTGAAACTGAGAGTTTTTCAAAATACTTACGTTAACTTGGCAGCTGAGTTCACCTGCAGCCCATACCATTGGTGAGGTATTGCACACCATGGTGTCATTTATGCCAGAAGTCGAGGCTAGTCCCGCGCTTGCACTGGCGTTGCCGCTGACAGCAGAATAGGCACTCTGGCAAGTGGACGAGCTGGTGCAAACGTTACATCCAACCCCTGTCCATCCATCTGAACAGGAGCATCCCGAGGACGTCAAGTTAGGAAAACCACCAGAGGCGGAAGACGGCGGAGCCAGAGAGCGGCTAGAGCCGTCGAATATGGTTCCCCCGCAGCCCGGTTGCGCACAATTCGAGCCGCCAAATCCCGGAGGGCAGAGACATCCCGATCCATCAGACGTACCAAAGTTGATGCATGATTGTGCCGCGACGGAGAGCAGAAGTGAGGCAAGGATCAGGATGTGAAAAGCCCTTGCAATGATAGCCGCGTGTGGCATTGTCAGCTCCTACGCAGTTGGTAGGAGACGCTGATACTACTGGCGCCAATGTTAAACTGTGCAAGTTGAATACAAGAGGGGTTCAACCTCGAGAAACTTGGACGCATGAGGCGCATCCGAGTGGACAGCCGATCAGGAGGTCGTGTATTTTTGTTTCGATCACGTGGTGCACACGCACAGCGATTTTCTGTCCACACCGCGACTCCAAGTCGTGACGGTACCGGTCTTCCTGCTACTCAGTGCTCTACGATTTGTCTCATTCTTCTTGAGTTTCCTCTTGGGATTCACTAAGGCCATCATGTTCTCAAGCGTAGGTCTACGTACTATTTGTGCTTTCTCAAACTCATCAGCTTTGGCAGATATCCTCCTGGTGGTCATCTTCACCACCGACTCCGGTCCCAACCGGAGAGAAGTACGACCCGACGAATCCCAAGATGAATCCTCTCAACCCTCATGGCCTTAAACCGTACGCGCCTATTAACATTTAGCTGACTCTTGCTCACTCCTAGTTTCTAAGGTGTTGCGCCTGCCCCGAAACTAAATCTGCTCGGGACGCGTGTTTCCTCCAGAACGGCAGTGAAGAAGGCCAGTGCGCCGAGCTCATCAAAAAGCATGTAGAGTGCATGCGTGGGCTCGGCTTCCAAATCTAGATTGCTATACAATATCCACCGACGAATAATTTGGACAGAAGGTGCCATAGAATGCCACGCGAGGTAAATTTCTTCAGTGCAACCAATTCCTCCATGCTAACTGTGGAGATGACATAGACAATCAACACTCATCTTCCCTCACATTTGTATCTGTAACCATTGTCATAACTTACATCTAGCGTATAGAATTAGCCCCTCTCATAAGACAATCTAAACTGATCCCGGTGAGACTGAGCAAAGTCCCATCGTGGTGGTGTTGTAGGACAGCGCTTGTGGTTAGACCGACGACAGCTCCTGAAAAGTCGCGACGCTTCTAGTTTTATATGTTTCCCAT